GGATTAAAATTTCTTAAATATATAGACTATCATTTATGAGAATTTACTCAAATTAAAGGTGCAGAAAATACTTACAAAAAGCACCATTACAAAAAATGCGGTTAGGTATGAACTCCACGCAGCCCACCACATTGAGACAAAGCGATAATGTTCGCCGGTTATGACATTTCGCAAATACCCTTTATTATCCTCTTTTTCGGCTATTACTCGCACTGATGCCATTAGCAGGTCATCATATCTGTAAAAATATAGCATTGTTTAGGACAAAAATTCGACAGATATACATTTCTGTGACAACATCAATGCGCACGCCACCAATGGGAGGAGAAACTAGGCCAAAAACTAACATATTATGTAGGCGCCAGTAAATTATTATTATATATATGTATTCAGAACTTTTCTTACCCCAAAAGCTGTTTAAGTAAAAATTTGCTAAATTTATCGCCAAAACATTTATCAGTCATTGGATCCAATTGTACTACGCGTACGGGTATTTTCAAACGCTTACGCGTTGATGATGATAAACGCAAGTGCCCATATTCTAATGAATACTCCACAATATACTGCTCATCTAAAAAGTTATTCATTTTATATTTTGCGGAAATCAAGAGTTAAATCATTTACCGTCGTCGGTTTCCTGCTTATCCACTTTCTCTTCGATATCGTTTGACGCCCCAGCTTTTTCAGATATCGCCTCTGTTTTAAAGTAGTAAATTAATGTCTCATTTGCGTAAGTAAATGTAGGTCGCAATTGATAACCAGCTCGAGTTAGTTTGCGTTCATATTCCTTTAAGCGATAATGGTTTACTTTAGTCTGAGGCCCAATACCATAATGACTAATATTAGAAGAAAAACACCAAATTTAGTTAGCCTTAGTATCATGGTAAAGAATTGTATAGCTAGTCTTACTAGTAATTTTGAAGGTAACGAACTAACTGTTCGTTGGCTTTGGTTTTAGACATTAAATCACGATGTTTCTCTAGATTTGGAATTACTTCAACTCTAAGAAGAATTCAAAAGGAAATATTACTTGTATCCTGATATTAAATTTTAATATTCACCTTAAAACTCCATCTCGAGGCCAATCTTTTACGTTTTGCAGACAGGTTGCCGGGTTTTTAATGAACGCCAGGTGAATATAAACCAAAGCGAAGAAGAATAAAAGTGCTTTAAGTAAAATGAAGTACTCTAAGGCGCGCTGAAGAGGCCTCGAAAATAAAGTAAAAAATGCTCTTACTTATGTATTTATGTGCTTGTAAATCGAAAATGGCTCAAATGAAGATGTTTTAACTTACTTTGGAAATATTTGTGCATACATAAGGGCAACCTTAAAGAAAATTGCATGAAAGAGTCGATCACGTACGTTCATCAGGTTGTTCTGTAATTAAATGTGTAATAAAAATTAAATAAGACAAATAAATAATACTACATATTTTATTTTTACAGCTATGAAATTTTCACACCGCATAGAACAGGTGGTTTCAGTCGTTTCTGCATACTTAAATTAAGTTTATTTCTATTTTTTGATTATTACACTCTCTCAGCAAATGAGCGATATGTATCCTTTGAAATTTTTATCATTTAATATCCTTATATAAATTCGTATTATTTAAATTAAATTAAGATTCTTCAAAATGCATTCAAAATTATAAATCTTGAAGGATAATTTTTTCAAAGGAGATTTTTTACATATTTCAAAAGGATAATTGAAAACAAGAGCTATAAAAAGCCATGGCATAAACCGCAAACCAAAAGCTATAATTAATTTTGTTTCGAATTTTTCTTTCAATTGATACCCATATATGCATAGTTTGTGCAAGCTTTTTAAAATATATTATAATTTAAGATCCTTTGGAAAAAATCCTGACTACCTAGTAAAAAAACAAAATTGCAGATTTACTAAATATTATGCTCTAATTAGTAATGCCATTTTATAAAGAAGTAAAACGGGTAAATTAACAAAACACGCGAACTGCAGAAAGCCTATTCTGATAACTTTAACTGCAAGTCGGCACGGGTTGCCGTGGTCCGAATTGCATAAAGTTTGATTCCGATATAGTTTTTAATACGAAACCAATAAAATGTGGGGGTATGCGGTGAAAAAACAACTTTGGGTTTTTGGGGCAGTCTTAATGTGTACATGTTTTCTGCTTTTTATGATTAAATAGGAAACTTTAAACGCTTCCTGAAAAATTATCTTTTTTGAGATGTGACAGTCTTTTAAAGTCATCTTCAATATAAAATTGTCAAATTTAATACAGCTCAGCTAGGCTATTTTTGTAAAAAGTGCAGACAGAAGATGTGTATTGTAATTTCTGGATACCTAGATGTTTCATATGCTGTACACATCGCTCCATATTCATCCTTGCTTCACCATCATTTAATAAATTTTACAAATATGTAGTTATAAATTTTCATATTACATACTAGCAAATATACATATTTTAAACAAGGTAGGCAGTCATGAATTAATGGCGTTTTCGTTTCTACCGAAAAATGTTACCTTCTCTTTGCCTTCTACGCACAAATACCAAGAGGGCAATGAGAAGGCGACATTTTTTGTAGAAAAGAAAACGCCATAAGATTTCGAAAATTTAGGTTTTACTCACTTGCCCACCACGATTACGATTATTGTTAAAGTTAAATGGATTTGCAGTTAAATCGACATTCCAAACATTCGCAATATTCGGGACGTTCACATTTGCTGTGGGAGGATTATTTACGCCTGCCTGCTGTTGTTGGGGCGGCGATGGCGCTTGGTCTGGGGTTTCGCCTCCATTATGGCTATTGTCTGCCATGGTATAAACCGCAAACCAATTCCTTTCGATACACTGTCTCCTTCTGTTGATTCGGCGGGTATGGAGACCACAAATAGTTAACCGCTTCCCTCAGCTACATAAAAACTATCTTTGCCTGGTAAAACTCAAAGCTTCTTCCAATATTTATTTTCGTTGTGTCCAGGAAACACAGTTGGCTCTATAGCGACTTCTAGTGATGATGTGGTGGCACAGCTGATGATTCTACGCCTCAAGCAAAAGTCCAAAAGGAGCGTCAATAAACGTCTGCCACACGGGTCTTCGTGGCATTTTCCGAATAAACCGGTAAAACTTTAGAGATTTTGCAGTATTTTTCACAAATTTTGCAGTTAGGCAATAATAAATCAAGCACAAATTTTTCACTGGACGTCTCTTCTAGAGCTGCAAAACTATCGATTGTACTATCATCGATTGTCTTTGGGCGATAGTCGATAGTTTCGACACTGCCGGTGCATTGAATTTTGTGATTTTTACTTAAATAAGTGATGGTATAAATTGAACTAAGAAAAATATTTCGAATTTCATGCTTAAGATGTAATATTTGTACTTACCTATGCGCAATATTTATATTTACATATATACATATCTATATATTACACACATTTTGTTCGGAGTTCAAGTTTTCCTACATATACAACACGATTGTATACGATACTATCGAAAATATCGATAGTATTTTTCAAACTATCGAATGGCGGCACTATCGATAGTTTTGCAGCTCTAGTCTCTT